TGATATTTGTGAAGAACTAATTCAATGGGCTTTGTTGCTAATGAAAAGAGGGCGCCCTTTTACCTAGCAACAATGTCCCATGGGCGGGACATTTAGCTGGTTGACGCGCACCGTTCCTTGTGTGTGACGCACGTACACCAGGGGATTTGTACTATGTACACGCAGTGAAGTGGTAGACCGCATGTCGCGGCAAAATTGCAGTCAGGCAAGATGGCGTCGGTCGGTCACCCCGAACTGTGCTTTCTTGGCCGGTGAGGGGGTACTTGTGAACGGAGCGGATAGGCCTTACTAAAGATCGGTTGATTTTTTTCGTTCAGTGTCTCATTCGAAAGTGAATAACTTTTAAATTTCTAGGAAAATTGCAATTGAAAAACAAATCTATTTTTCGAGGTGAAACCTGACAATAGCACGGGAATGCATCTTTAATTTCCTGAATGAACTGTAGTACTTAATCAGTAAATGTAAGGTCATTCACGGTCATTTTCCTCGCTTAAATTATGATCATTTGTTTAAAAATGTCTTGAATGTCTTTTTCGGTACTTGACCACTGCAGGGAGTTTATTCCTCTAAAATTGAAGTTGCTATTCGGATTCTATTCAGTTTCAGCCTGGAGTTGCCAAAGCCTAGTGGGCCTTATGCATGAGTTGGCCATTTTTGTCAAGTTCCCTGAATGTATTTCATTATTGTTAACTGTTTATGCAGGCATAAAGACTATTTATGCAGGCATAATGCAGCCTTTAATAATTTGTTTAATTACAAATGTTAAATTATTCATTGAAGCAGCCTGGAATTATTTAGTATTTAACTTGCTTTCATTTCTCTTCACAAGTTTGAAAAATTTTGATTTTACCTCACTTTTCAATTCAATATGGCCGAATCGTGCATAAGGCCCATACACTGGTATTAGGCCAAAGCACACCAACTTACATACATACATTGTGCTTTTACGTACATTATGCAGGATTGGATTTGAGCTGTGAGATATGTAGTGGGTTGTTGATATGTTGTATCCTCTCTTTGACTTTAAAGGGAAGATACAACATTTGCAAACATCAAAAAACGAAATGATCAAATTGTCACGAAATATCTTACTGGATTGTTAGGCAATGACAGTCCAAAGCATTGGAAAAATACATGTTTTCTTGAAAATGTCAGCACACCTGGTGTGCTGACATTTTCAAGAAAACATGTATTTTTCCAACGCTGGTCGGCTGACCAGCATTGGGGGAAAACTCGCTTTTTTCAAAAACTGCTCCTAAGTTTTCATATTTAGTTATTCCGCATTTTCTTTGCAATTGATTACACACCTGTGAAGGGGTACAAGCCTGATAGACTGATTCTCTGACCTTACAATTCCCCACAGTCTATAAAGTGCTCTGTTTCATCTTAAGTGGGGTCAGGGAACCAGACTACAAGAACATGGTTGGTTTTGTTGGATTTTCCAGCATCTCCGAACCCAAAAAAGTGAAGCAAGTCAGTTTAACAATATTTGCTTTAACACACTAATCCTCCAAATGCATTTCTTTCTGAAAATTGCAGCAAAGCAAATGTTGTACATTCCCTTTAAAAGGAAATAGCCAGGGTTGGAGCACGAAAGGTGATTTTTATCCCCATCAATTTCAAGTGTTATTGTACTAGGATTGGGATTTAATTTAAGTCATATTTGTATGTGCCTCTGAATTATTTAGAGCATCCGTCTTTTTATTTCTTTGTTTCTCATTTTCAACTCAAGAAAAAAAAACCAACATTTTTCTTTACCGTCAACTCTGTTTGGAACCCTCGTACTAACAAACAAAATGAACCAAAAAAAAACAAACAATAATGAATACAAAATTCAACCAATGAGGCTCTGTGTTATTTGAAAAGCTACATGTATGGACAGAATACCAGCTGTGTACGCTAAGAACAGCATAATATAGCTCCCAGTGCAAGCCCAGAAGTTGCCAGGATGTTGCCTCTCATATTGATGTCTGAGGTCTGTAATTTACCTTTGCTAGGGCATGGTATGGCGTGGCTGCCACTCAGCCAAAACGTTAGTGACCTGCATGCAGCAAATAATATTAAGACAACTACATGTGTGCATGTACATTGTACATCTTGCCAAAGATGTCTTTATTATTTTGTTCAGTGATATCAACTCATAATAGACTCATTGCAGTAAAAAAAACTAGAGACAATACGCACTTGGAAAAAAAAGTTGGCATCATTTAATTTAGCCATCTAGACGGGAACAACTTCTGTTTGTTTCTCTTCAGATTTTACTTATTTGTTGACCGACTGATCCTACTTCAGAGGCAAACAAATATGAGAACCAAAACATGCAAATAATTATATGGCCAACACAGTTTAAAGGGGTCATGAGATGATATTCTTAAGAACACATTTGGTGCAACTTTATACTTCTCTTAAATGTATGAAAACTATTTGAAATTTGGGTTAATTTCATTGAAAAGATCACTTCTTTAAACATGTTCCAATGCTTTTCCGAACAACTGAGGGCGCTGTTGCTGTGATGTCATTTCGGCATAGGAGTTTCTGTTCAAACTTTAAACCCGAAAAGTTTGCTCATTGGCTTACTGCCATGTACTGACACAAAAACGAATCGCCAAAGAAAATAACATTTATTACAGCAAAATATCAAAATTCTGGCAACTTTTGATTCTGAAATAGCTGTAACATTGATGGTTCTGCCTGAAATGACAATGAACTTTTGCTCATGAATATGGAAATTTGCATTAACATAGAAACCAAGAAAGAGCACCAAAATACCCTTGAAAATGGCAAAACGATAAGTGAAAATAAGGTTAAGTGTACATTTAAGTGGGACACAAAGGTGCCTTTTTAAGGACTGCATAAACAATGTGTACATGTACATTGCATGGGCTCTTTTCAAAGCTTGGCTGATACTCTATATTTGTGTGTGTTAACATTTTGTTGTGCTGCGCAGGATATTGTTATTTATTTAATCTATTTATTTAATTTATTTATTTATTCGAACCACCATAACATTTTGTGTGCATTTACACCTCTGTTGTATAAGGCATGTGTAAGACTTTTTTGTAATTAAAATAGAATCCAGAATGGTGCTTTTTAATTATGATTTTCGATATTAGTTTTTTTTTAAGAGAGGTAATGTTTCAGTTGTGAATGTTAAGCCTTGCCTGTGTCAGCCCATAGGGCTAGGGTGGTGCTGTGCACGTCTTGGATATACAATGTAGTCCACTTTTCATAATTGCTTGCAATTCTGTGACACCTGGTGGCCATGTTGCAAGAATCTCGTCACTTTGGACTAAGTGGCATTGTTATCTGGAAAAGAAATACTATTAGTAGTTTAGTGGCAATTAATGGACGCTTACCGTACGTGTAAAGCTTATCTGAAATTTGAATATGCACGAGGAGTATATGTACCTGTACATGCACAGTACGTTATATTTTGCATTTTCTAGACGTTTCTATAGATTTATATATTTGTAGTGTGCTTCATCGAACAACATTTTTATACTGCCCATATTGTTTGGATGGATCTGTTGGTAATGCACTCAGAGGGGTATATCCTGTCCAGTTGTCTATTTTTATACAAAATCTTGAAAAAAAGTTAAAACAGCAGCCCCTTTGTTCACTTCTCTCTTTTCATTTTTGTTGGCAGCCGTGTTGTATTGGCAGAAGTGCATGTAGTTATGATTACCAATATTATGCAAATTGAGTATTTTTTGTATTGATATAATATATGCGATGCGATGCGATGCGATATATACACGTATGTGTACCCGTATAAATATCAAAGCACGTACTGTTTACAAATACAATGTAGTTGAATTTTGGTTTAAATAAATACCTACCTGGCATTGTGTTTGCTCGAAATGAACTGCTTAGATGTGTTGGTTAGTATATCGAATTACATGTAGTGTGCTAAATTGGTAACCAAAATGTGACAAGTGAAATGAATGATTTTCACAGCTGTGTGTGTTTTATTTATCGTTTGAAATGGTTAATTTTTGTCAGTACATGTATCTAACTAATTTGTAGGTATCTATTTTATGAGGGTAAGTGGTAGATACAAGATTTGGCAATGAAGGCGATACTTGTACAGAAAATACAAATAGCACAGTTAAAATGTGAAGGTTGGCACGGTAAGGATAGCAATAAGATAAATTCACCTTATTAAATACAACAGTATTGTTTCAAAAAATCGCAAAGGTACAAGTGCAACCATGGCTGTGCATATATTTGAATTTATATTTTTTATGAATTTATTTCCAGAGCATGCTACAATGTATCACTGCACATTCACAGGCCCCCTCCCATGGCGGAAGCGTATTGTCCCAGCTATTGTACAAAGCAACTGCCCCAAGAGGGATCACACAAGTACCTAAACACTAGCGGGCACAAATGCTTACACAATTGAAGGGGCTACATAGGCCTACAGTGATATCACGTTCAGACCTACACAAAAGTAAATAATTGCCATTGAAACTATTACTTGCACTATATGCACTTTTATGGTTTGGGAGTTCATACATGAACATGTGTAATACATTATGCTACCAAACGTATAGTCTTTGAAAGATAAATATGATAGTGAAATATTCATTTTTTGCGGAAACAAGGTACGCGTACGTTTTTCATGTAAGTATTGCAATTATTATTATTATAAATTTTTGACAGTCATGGGTTGTGGAAAGACTGAACAGCCCATCTTAAACCAATTCCCGTATAAAATACTATAAAAAATTAAAGTAATCATGTAAACTGTAAAACAAAAAGGATAATATTTGAAATTTAACGTATAAGAAGAAAAGAAAAAGTAAAATTAACATATTCAAATCTATGACCAACCAAAAAAAAACAAGGTCAAGATTAAATAGACGCGCGGACAAACGTTACACACAATAATAAAACGTTAAACAAAAGTACATATGAATTTAAAAGTGGGGAAAAAAACACCCACCCTCAAACCAACTGGCCAACAATGTCATTTAATGCTGGTTTTAAACACTTATGTGTATTGGTATAAAAGGTTGTCGGTATACCAAAACAAATTGTTGTAACCGAGTTCGTAATAACCGGAGTCTACTGTATTTTATAACCGTTTAATGTATGTAAACAAAATGCCATTCGTTCATCAATATTGGGTTTTACCCTTCAACGACGTAGAAACACCGTATACTCATTGTTACCTCCCGAGTAAAAGTTGGAAAAAATCACTCGGTGGGACTCGAACCCACGACCTCATGCTTTCTAATGCAGATGTCTTAAGACTCGGCCACCGAGCTTGTGGGATCGGTTGGCTGGTTCGAATCTGATGTACATGTAGCAGCGGGTACCGCAATGAAACTATAAGATGGAGTAAACATAAGATGGAGTTTATTCGTTGCAGTTAGTGAAAGTCATGCACTTGAACATGTTGAATGTGCTAGGTTAAATTTATTGGCTAGGGTGTAAAGCAACAACACAACTGAGTGTTACTACTTTTGTGATTTTGTTGAAATAAAATATTATTTATGAACTGTGAACAAAGCTATTGGTACAGTGTGGTGCAGGTTCGTCGTTTTCAAATTGCGTTTGAGTCGAAGGGTTGAGTCAGGGGTGTATTTGTGTATTAACATTAGAAAATTTGATTATTTCTTGACCAATTGGTTAAGGAAACTGAGAATTAAACAATACTTGACTGCCACCAATGATGTTTCAGGCCAACTAACAGATCAGCTAATTCTAGTTCACTTGTAACTATTTCTTGTTGCTGCAATTCTATCCTAATGTGCGTTAATTTAATAGCGTTGAATCGTTCTAGATTCATTCATTCCTCTAGTTAACTTTTATCTTCCGTTGCCTGCGGTTGCGACACGCCATCCACAGAATACCCTTGCAGCCTAGTAGCAACACACCAAGCACACCGAACAAAATGGCAGCCAGGAAGGCGTACACGTCCAGCAGGTGGTACTGGATCCAGCTGAGGTCGGCCGCACGAGGTCGCAAGTACTCCCCGCCGTACTTGCCCACGTGGGCGATCCAGTGAGCTGCCTTCTCGGACGGAATGACTGGATCGTCGCGGAGCAGGCGTGAGATGTGTTGCGCCCTCTCGCCATATCTACAGTCATAAGTCAAAAAGCGGTAATCTTTAGGAACTGTGAATTCCGTTTGCAACAACGCCATTATACTCTGAAAGACTTAGCATATATAAAGAACGTGTGAATGTCACTGCCAACGTGTGTTCTCACGCTCGGGCGCGTCCCTTACATGCAAATCAAGACGATATTAATTGTACACAGTATAAGTTGAAAAATTGCAATGAGCAATTTCACGCAAGTTAGCGCTCGCGATTACTTTCGCGTGCGTAACGTGTCCTAAACATGCAGGCCATCGTACATCTCATTTTCAATATAGCCAACGGGACCTACAACTCGTGCAGCCATATATGGTTGCGAACACAAAGCGTCATGCCGTTGTTAGGCAAAGCTAATCCGATTACATACTTAAACGCTATAACAGAGCAGTGAAATTCATGCACCCCCAAATACATGGCATTTGGAACGTTGTGTTTCTCAAAAAATATGCTCAGTATGATTGAAATGTTAAAATATAACGGAATTGAGAAGGAATTGTAAACTTCATGTCAGTGAAAAAAATCGCCGTCATCGATGCCGGAACGTCAATACTGGTTACTGGTAAAGCCGACCTTCAAATCTTAAAGAAATCGTTCGAAAACGTCCCCAAATCTATGTGTTTATATCAGTTTCTAGGAATTTACGGAAGTTGTTATTTCACGAATAGTTGAACACGCATGCCATCTAACTATATTCCGAATTTCAGCTTATCTGTTTTTGCTAACGCTTGTGTTACATATTGAATCATCTCTATGGAAAATTTCGGCGACGAATTTTAGCGACCAAACCCACGTGTATGGTTTTCCTTAGTAGGCGCTACGGTTGACCGATAAATATTTCGGCCCGGCCACACATGACAATGGACAATCGCATATTAGCATATTCATTAGCGTCATTCGGCGTGACTTGGCGTGGGTCTCGGTATCGACCAATGGAAGCCGGCAAAAAGGGTGATATTTATCAATTAATAACTCGTGAAAGAGGCTTTTACGCAAATGTTTACTGCACACCACAATGGATAGGAACCTCATTAATATGTGTGCGGCTTGAAAAGATTGACAGACATTGCTAACGTCAGTGTTACAGCTTTCAAATATGCACGTAGCCAGGCCTATTTTTCCAATTTCAACGGAAAAAAAGAACACATCACAACGATTTTTAGCACATAATTCGATCATTATAAGGGAAATAAACCCTGAAAGTATCATGAAGATACGGTCTTCCAAACGGGAGAAATTAATTTTCAAAGATTTCGACCGCCAACGTGAACACGTGCGTCACTGTACATGTAGTTTCATTCAAAATAAAGTGTTACGTAACCTTTACAAATCGCCCTTCGCAACCACATGGCTGCGTGGTTGAAAATTATTGCCAACCACGGGTCCGCAAACTATGGAAGGCCAAAGTCGCAAAAAAAGTTATTAATGTTTGAAGACATATAATTGAATTGTTTAAAATAGAAAACACCCATTAAATGATACCAAATACTTAATAAAACTGCCTCTTTCTTACATGGGCGTGTTAATATGCATTTTGGAGGAAAAAAAATCTGTTGCCAACCACGGCTAAAATTGATGCTCTTGTGACAGCCCATACAACATGGCGCCAAATGATTACAAACAAAAGAAAGGTTCAGATAGTATCTGTTGCAATGGAAACGAGGCGAAAACTGTCGCTTCGTGGAAGTCGTTGCTCACAAGTTATCTACTTGAGGGCGCTTTAAGGTATCCTTTTTAATTGTTTGGTTGTAATCTCTGACCGCCCCTATTTTGGGCTCCTGACCCCCCCCCCCCAAAAAAAAATATACCGTGAACCCGTCTGAAAATAAAATTTAAAAAAATACATTGAACGAAGGGGAGACAAAAAACAAAATTGTTGCAATACTGCAGGCTTTGTGTAATTTAAAAGCCATTGAAAATAATATCGCGAAGTACGGCGTATCGTATATCAACCATACAAAAAGGGACGCCCTTGAAACCGACGTGTTCCATAACCATGGCAGCTCACAGGAAATGATGAGTTTAAAGTTACACGCATACCTTGGATCTTCAATGACGCGGGTGACTGCGTCGCAAAGGGCGTCCTCTGTCAACGTGGCTATGTCCAACTGCAGAGCCATCCCCTTAGCGACTGCTCGCTCCATGTTGTCGAAGTGGTCACCGAAGAGGGGTATACCGACCATGGGGAGGCCGTACCAAGCCGCCTCGTACATGCCGTTCAGCCCGCCGTGACTCAACAGCGCCTTGGTGTTCCTATGAGCTGACAGTCCGAAAATAAAACGTTCTTAAGTCGGGTCCCAAGGTCTACATCTAAATCTACACCTACATCTATATCTACACATATATCTGCATCTACACCTATATCTACATCTACATCTTCATCCACGCCTACATCTACACCTACATATACTACTTCACCTACACCTAAGACTACATCTACACCTACACCTACATACACATACATCTACATCTATAGCTACATCTGGATCTACATCTGCATCCAATAACACCATTTTTTAACCTTGTCCACGGATAACATTGAAGGTACGTGATATTTCAGTAAAAATGAAACCATGTCGTATCCTGAAAATGATATCAGAATAATCCCATAAGTCTCTTGGGTAGCCAAGTAGAAGGCAGGGCACAACTACTCTTTACATTATAAAACATGTTATTTTAACATTGGAAGCAGCATCTAGGTTTTTACATAAATGTTACGATAGGTGCCCGTTATCATGGTTATGAGTCTGATCTGATGTGTTTTTTGATATGTGAATAGCTTTTGTTATGCTGAAATATCCCTAACCTTTATTGTGATCCGTGGACAAGCTTATATAAACAGTGTTAATGAACAAAATTCCATAACTGGAAAAGTACATGAGCGATTTCAATAATTTTTTCATTAAAAGAAACTCATTTGGCTTTTACATCCTAAATCTGCAAAAAAGCCCTACATGCAGAAATTCTTTTTAAAATAGGAGGCGCCGTTTGGGTTTCCTGGTTTTTTTTTACTCACCCTGGTGACAAAATTTCGTGACGTACAAATTTTAATTAATTGCATGCGCAACAGATACATACTTTTGTTACTTTTCGCTTACAAAGTGGCAACTCACAAAAGTCACCTAAAAACAGAGTTGGCCTCCTGAGTCCATCCATATACCTTCGGTTAAAGCTAAAGAGTGTGTTTTATCGAACTCACCCATTATCTCCTGCTGTGGCATCCATTGTACAACCTTCGTGTTGTTCCCGATATGCAAATGCGTAACACTGCCAGGGAAATGCCAGATGACGCGCTGCTTCAGCTTGGCCAATCCGTTGGCGAACATCTGAGCCTGCGCAGTTTCCACCTCCTTCACGTGACTACCCAGCGTGAACAGAACGACGCCTTCGTTGGCATCGTCCAGAAATTTCTGCTGTTCCACTGAAATCTGAGGAACAAAATGACCGGACGTTATAAGGCCAACAATCATGCATGTGTATACATACGTTTTCAACATGCGTATTACTTTTGCGCGTATTCTGAAAATCCACGTGCACGAATTTCTTTTCTTTGTACACTTGACCTAGTCTGAGTACAACCCATTGTAACCAACGACTGATATTATGTGAGCAATGCAAATTGTATGCCACTCTGCGCGCCAGCCAATCGCAGTCGACTTAAGAAATTTGTACGTCATATCGATCACAAATGTGGAAAAATTAAGCTGTTGATTGGTCAATTTAGCTGCCATGTTTTTTGTAATACAACAACGGGTTACCGAAGAACCGATAGATTTTGCGCCCGCAGAATCTCCAGGTCAAGACGCAGTCTTGTTTTACAACATTAAAAGCCGAATATGCTCGCAAATCACATATATATTTGCCAAGGGGATATTCCTTAGACCACACTTGACCGACGGGTCTCGCCTTTTCGTTGGAGGGAAGACCCAGCATGGGTGAGGCAAGCATCACAGTGTTGGGCTGCAAGGGTCGGGCGAACTCCAGCCCAAAGTCCCCGTAGAACAGCCAAAGCTGAGCCTGGGCCAGCATCTCCGGCATCCGCTTCTCCGGGCTCAGGTTGTACTTTCTCTGGAGATCCTCAAACCTCCAAAGCGCAGCTCGTCTGGCCAGACCGGTGACGAAATAGCGACAGGTGTTTAGGATGCGCTGTGGCAGGCTCATCATGTCGGTTAGACCAGCCTGGCGCTCGGGAATGTAGGCCGAGTGGTTTGGAATGCCATACCTGCAAAGAGGAATCGTAAAGTGACATACAGCATGGCAACACCTGCAGAAGAAGAAAAGTGCGGGCCCTTAATCAATTACATGTATGTCAAATATTAGAAGTCTGTGTACCAACCAGCTTCCCTTGGAAGGAAGGATACCCGTGCCGCTGACCAGGACAAATTTGATTCCCAGAATCTCTGCTAGCAGCGGCTGGCAATCAGACAAATCGTCCCCGATCAGCAGGTCGAAGCTCTCCTCTCTCAGCGCCCGGATCGTCGCGTTGTCCCCCAGCAAGGTGTCGCACTCGCTCCACAGGAAGTTGAACCACGCGCGGCGACCGTGACTATCCGCGGAGTACATCGACCTCAGGAGGAATTTCATCGCGTTTACCGCGCCTCTCAGCTCCCCACGCAGAGCAACACGAGACAGTCCTCGCTTATTCCGCTCCCGGTCCTCCGTCGTGTACAGCGATCGGTGCACGATGAACCTGAACTTGTCAGCCCCGCTGGCGTTCCGCCAATTTGTAAAGCTGTCGCTAAGGAGGAAGGTGACGTCTTGACCTTTCCTGACGAGAGCTTCGGCGATCTTGGTGTTGGTCAGGTGATGGCTGCCGTCGTCTGAGGCGGTGTAGTAGAGGAGCTTCAGTCGGTTCTGTTGGACCGTCGGTGTCGATTCGCTTTGCCAAGCGAAGAGAAACAGAACCAGCGGCATTGACATTCGAAGCAACATTTTGTCGTCAAAGCTTTGTGTAAAAAGCCGACGGCTTCGTTTTCGGTAACAATAATTTGCCTTAAGTTAGCCAAGTATAATAACAAAGCCTAATTTGGTTAGCTTGACCAGTTTTAGTTTTCCATTTTTCCAAATATGGAAATAATGAAAATATGAAATAAGTTCTTGTCCAAATATTTATGGACACGCGCTGGGTATTCGTGACGAAGACAAACTACGGATCCGATATAAAGAAGCTTTGCCAGACAATGTATTTCGTGGGCTAGATCTATCAGGATTGTCTTTCGGATATTGCAAGTTAGAGGCAGACTGCACTACATGTTCTTGTATGTGAACAAAAGTGAAGTAATTGCAATACAGTTAGCTTGTATACTATTTGACACGGATAGTTACAACGACAGTCCAAACAGAGAAAGTGGAAATGTTCATACCGTGTTGCAACCTCTATCGATCATTCCTAAGCCCACCGTAGTTTTTTTCTACTGAAAGACACGCCTTTATAATGCTTCAGGTGTCAACACAAATTGCGATCACTTCCTCTTGATGGCAGTATCAAATTGCGTGGCAAAAGAGTCGTAAACGCTAAGAAAACCAATGTCTTCCGCTCGTTCTGTTTGTCCACTCGTAAACTCTTTGGTGTATGATAACAAACCTCTCATTGAAACAAACAGAAATCAATACGGAAGGCAATGTTATAGCTACTATATAATTATAGTACCTCTACATTGACCTCCGTCATGATTTCTGTTTGTTTCAATATGGGTCTCGTAATTTGTGCTGGTCCCTGAAGGCCAACTTTAGGGCAGGGTTTGACCTTAATTTTTTTTTTGTTCACTAGCCAGCCGGGCTACTGAAACGGACTCTCAACTAGCCAGTGGGCATTTTCACTAGCCCGCATTTTTTTCTTATCTCAAATACAAAATGGCGTATTTTCAGGCTTAATTCTGAGGCAATTTTGTCAGGGTTTTTGATTAACAGATCTGATAATTTAACCCTTTAAAACAGTTGATAAAATTAGACACAAATTGATGGGGTTTTCTTTCTGAGTTTAATGATTTATTTCTTCCTGTACGTGCATCTTTGCCGCATCCCAATCATTTTTCACTCGCCAGCCGGGCTAATTAAGGAGTAGTTTGACTAGCCCGCCGCTGTTTTGACCAGCATTTGGCTAGCGGGCTACCGCTATTCCGAACCCTGTAAAAGTGTCGTCTTTATACCTTACTGACTGACTGTCTCATCACTGACTGGCTCACTAACTGTCGCTTGTGCACCTGAATAAACCTTAAAAAACAGCCATTCTTAATCAAATGAATAGATTACATCTAAAATATACTGACGTCATGCTTTGTTAACGCGTGCAATTTCTTATGGAAGGTAGATTGTTTTTATTCAGGAATACCTCAGACAGTTTACCCAATTCTATTGGTCGAGAGCCCGTCACGTGACCAGTCGTAAACGGTTGATAAAACAAACCGTTGGTTGGTATGAACTAAACACTTTTCTGGTGTCACATTTTGACTTCTATGATGTATGGTCCCTTTGACCCTTTTATTGGTAAAACATTCGCAATCTTCACCTATGTTATAGGCATACGTGCAATACTACAAATGAGTCCGCTAGACTGTGTCCTGCCCCCCCCCACCCCCACCCTACCCTAAATATATGGGGACGGGTAAATAGCGGTCATTGCCTTTGATTGGATCGCTTCTGCGCGCGCGCATTGCGACTGTTTATTTTTGAATCGCTGTTTCTCGCCCATGGACGACGGATATTGTACTCACGATCATCAAGAAACTCACGCTTGTCTCACCACAAAAAGATCACAAAATCACCAGTGTCTTAATGAAAGCAACTTTCAAGCATTTCAACTGCATAGGTTGTAAATATTGAACGGCAATATTTCTCTCGTTATTGACATTCGCGAGAGAAACTTTCAAATTCAGCAAAAATGGAAGCTCGTTACCTCCAAAAGTGCACATTCGTGGCCAGGCGTATTGCCATTTTTGCAACAGGCTTGCTCTGCGCGCGCAGACATTACCATTGTGATTCAGAATTCACGAGGCGAGGCGGGTTCCAGACCTACGTACCTTATTATGCATATAGTTAACATGCATATAGTTAACATACATTACCCGGAATTTCGGAATGTATGCCAGATTCAGCGCTAGTTACCGGACCAATTTTCGAAGCCCAAAGGACAATGGGGTCGGGGAACCAGACTATGAGTCCGTATTTCGAGAGTCCTAAATTTACACTACAGCCAACCTCGTCCCCAGGGTGTCGAGCAGTACGCGCCCACCACTACCTGCTCTCTCACCCTGGTATTGGATCATTTGTATGTGCAAGATTTTTTAACACGTATGAGGAATAGTTTAGTGCCTGCCTGTGCGTTACATTAGCGTTAGTTTTTGATTGCGGTGTCTGGGTAAAACAGCATCAATTCGTGGCGCCGTGAGTTATGAAAACACGATTTTTTTTTCGGAAGTTAAAATGTTACAATCTGGCCGGCCAATATGCAGTATCACATTTCATATTAATATAAGCAAACTGGAATAGAAATGAGTACACCGGAAGGCGTGGACGTTAAAATTACAATTAACGTGAAAACAAGTAATGCACGTTCGAAATAAAAACACCGACTACACGATATAAATCCCTTACTAGCAAATTGCGGTATCGAATCAGCATACAGGAAGAAAGTTTCCTATCCAGGGCTTACTATTGGAAACGAGGTTGGAAATAAAGCAAGCACTGGAGACGAGGTTCCACTGCACCGGCATCGATGCGTTCTGCGCCACATCTCGCAGTACGAGCCACGCGCATGCTAACCTCCTTATAAGGAGAAGTTTACGACTACTCGCGAGATGGATATACCATAACATAGCTTGAGGGGTGTTCGGAAAAAAAAAATAAAGTAAAACTGTTCAACAAAATCGTTGGAAAAATTTTAATTTTGGCATTGTTTTGACTTTTGGACCGAAATGTGTTGTCGCGGCGCGGGTCATTATCAGCTTCCAGACTCCAACCCGGCCCTCAAAATAAAAGTGTTTAAAACCGGCCAAGCACACATTTTATTCCCTTATTAATTGTACACCGTTTTTTTTCAAATCATCCTAAAATGTCAAGATCAAAATAGGGTGAACGATTGTACATGTGGCTAGAAGTGAAAGAGATTATGATTCTCAGATGAGCGAAGGGTGTTCAAGGAAGAGTATATCATTTGAAGCTATCCAAACAATAACTGACGGAAGTATTGTTGAAAAGCTTACTTGGTTTAAAACATAATAATGGCACTTTACTCCCGGTGAAATTATTCTTTCTTGCATGCTGTCACTTTGAAGTAAACAATAAAAGAAAGTCATTTCCAAATATGCGTCTAAAGATGCATTCGGGAAATTTCCCTTAGCAGTTCGTTCTAAATTCGGCGAAGCCGTGAATGGGCGCGCGCAAGCGTTGAGACGACGCACACGCGCGCGCGGTTGCTATAATTCGTTGTATCAGTGCGTGACATCGCAACCTCGTCCCCAGGGTGTCGAGCAGTACGCGTCCACCACTACCTGCTCTCTCACCCTGGTATTGGATCATTTGCATGTGCAAGATTTTTGAACACATATGCAAATGAGGAACAGTCTGGTGCCTGGATATGCGTTACACATTAGCGTTTGTTTTTGTATGCGGTGTCTGGGGTAAAAACAGAGTCAATTCGTAGCAGCACGAGCACAGCGTGAGTTACGAAAACACGATTTTTGAAATCAAACTGTTACGATCTTATCGAGACAACATGCAGTATCATATTTCATATTAATATGAGCAAATTGTAAAGGAAATTAGTATTTTGGAGAAGGCGTGGACGAATGATCGCGCAAAACTCATACTGCACGTTGTCAATAATAGCACCAAGTACACAGTAAAAATCCATTACTAGCCAATCTCGGTATCCAATCAGGATACAGGAAGAAAGTTTCCTATCCAGGGTTTACTATTGGAAACGCGGTTGGAAATAAAGTAAGCACTGGGGACGAGGTTGGTGACATCGCGTATATGCAATCGGCTGAATGGGAACGTGTCCCCGACGTTCATTTCGGGCGCGGTTCAAAACATGACTTGACAATTTTTGAATTGAAATCGAGATCCTAGAATATGCTTTTCTCGGCCAGAATATAAAACATTCCCAGAGCTAACTCTTCACCATATTAATTGTTAAGTACCCTTCGTTAAATGTTGAACACTTCTGTTGCTTCATTCCAAACGAGAAAAAAACCCACAAATTATATATTCTGCCTTTAACTCAACGTTTTTGGTTGCTGTGCTGTGGTCGCCATTAATAATTCCATTACATGATGATTTCGCAGCAACAAACAAAAGCACGAGAAAACGAAGTCCCGATATAAGCCCGCAGCTCCCACAACAACCGGAATGTTCAGAACGCCACAATGCGGAATTAATGACGACCGTTTATTTGTCGAGTTTCTAAGACTGTTGTTATTGTTCTTGTGTCAACTTAACCTTCCCCTTGACATTATTTATGTACCGACAAGCGCCATAAAGTAGGACTCTACAAAAAAAACCAACTTTTCATGGCAGTCATCCCATGGGGAGAAACATAGACTTGAAATCAAGTCGCCGGGTAATTGGCCACGGCGGCGTGGACAGATTCATCTTCCGTCTCAGGGTATACGAGTAGCGTGCGGTATATGGCACTTACGTGCGGGGAAGGTTCGTGCATCCTCGGCCTCAAAAGGCGTGTAGGCTGATTCCGTTTACCGACTTCAATCAGCTGTTCTGGGCTTTGTATAAAACGTATATGACTGTTGCTACCACAATTGTACTGCGCAGTCTGATTGATTAAGAATCAGGAGAATATGAATATTCATATTTATACATAAGTGGTTTTCCATGTGCACGGTACACAGTAAAATACTACGTGGAGTGAATCACATTCCTCGAGGGGTTAAATTCTAATGCTGGGCCGTTTTGTATTCCACCATTATTTTTTGTTACTCGGAAAACAATAATTTGATATTAGGCCATCAGCCTGGGGGTTTAGCCAGTATCAAATCAGGGCATAAATTATGATAGTGTGCATGCGTAAGGCAAACCGCCCTTAGAGTGGTCACAAGCATTTTGATGGACATTTTTTTTTTTTTAAAGGTGATAACACCCAAAATACTGCCACCGATGCAATACAATCACATATTTTCCAACTCTGGAGGTGTTTACCTACCCAAAAATCGCTATGACGATTATTCCCCTCATTTGATACCGGTGGCCAAAATTTTGGACAGAGGCTAATGGCCTATATATATATGTGCCTATTATATTTTCGACTTTCTTTGGTTATTCCACTGAGTGTAATGTTCTAATGAAAATGTTACGAAAAGAAAGAGAATTGTTATACCTCTGTCTTGAATACAGTTACTGTATTTTCATTGGCCTAGAACGATCACGTGTTTGTATAACGTCATGGCACACTCCTTGTAGGATATCACGTACGTACGGTACGTACGGTGTGAAACGCTTGTATCGTTG